TCCTTCCACACCTTCTGCAATAGTGGTGTGAGCATGTCCGCTGTTGTCTCTGCATCTGTTCTCAGTGCTTCTGGCGGCTAAGAAACTTCAAAGCACAAACCTACTAAGCATACAAAGAAGAAATCACCAATGACTGACAAGACCTTCGCATCACTGGTAGAAAATCATAGTCGTGAACAAAACAGACCACGTCAAAAAAGCACAGGAATTACTAAGCCAGATCCAGTGGGAACTGAGGAGTTAAGTAAAAGCCAGCCAAATAGCAAAATAAGAACAATGGTGGATGAAGACAAACAGACCAGTCCTACTTAGATTATACAGTCGACTTAAGATATATATATATATATATATATATATATATATATATATATATATATATATATATATATATATATATATATATATATATATAAAAGACAGATATTTCATTACGACCAATAGTTTCACTATCTGAAACAGGTCCATTCAAGCTATCGAAAGTATTATGTAGAAGACCAAAGCATGTCGTCAGTGGGTGGCGTAAGCGAGTGTATTGACCGATTACGGATCATCAATGCATTCAGAAGGTTTGCAGACTTCATGCGTTACCAGTGTATCCTTGTTTTCGATTGACTGACCAAGAGCTGTACGCTCTTCTTACTGTCAACAATTTTCGAAATCAAAACGACCTTGAACACTCAACATTAATTTTCATTTTTATCTTTTCTTTCAGTTTTTTTTCTTCACAGTCAGTTATCTGTGCTACATGATAACCTAAATAGTTCAATTTCATTTATAAAAACAAATTGAATTACGCCTTCTCACCTCTTCTTAACATAGACAAACAAATACTGTTGACATTTTTGCATTAAAATGGAATTAGGAAAATACAATAAATCAATGTAAAAAGTTTTTTTTTGGTTTATGGAAAAATTAATTGAATTTGGACTGATAAAAGAGAATAGTAATAGTTTGATGACATTCCGGTAAGGTGTGTGTGTGTGTGTGTAGAACTTAAGTGATAAGCAGTTAACAAATGTCTTGTTCATTTTAATGGATTCCTTGGACAAAGAATTTTTTAAAACGAGTTTTCTTTTGAAGGTTTGTGGGAAATGGATTTGTTTCATAGAAGTTTTCATTATGAACGACATCAGCTGGTTCACCACTGAAAAACTGGAAGTAATAAATAACTGTTTCGTCCAACTTTGGGAGTCCTCAGCAGTATGAATCTATAACCTTTTGTGGTATAGAAATCAGAGTACTTTTCCGATCACACAAAAAATAGGAATAGAATGGCTCCTGCTTTTCAGCTGTTAGCACTCTGTTATATGGAAAGAAAATCTATCAGTGGATCAGTAATTGTTTGTTTGCATACTCGACTTGGTCGCCCTCACAGGTTGCACCCTGTCAAACGACTCTTTGGAGTTGGTTACTAGAAAGCACTGAGTTGCTATGCAGTTTGTAAGACGTAGGTCATTCGGTTATGACCCAGTAGATGAGTGGTAACGTGCTCACTGTATGAACTGATGGACCTAATACCTGAACGCGCATGCAGTGCAGAATGTTTAAACTAGTCAGCTCCTTCTAATTTGACCCCCCCCTGACTCTCCAGGTTTCTGGGGTCTTTAAAGGCCACCCTGGTAAATGCTGAAGTAACCAAGCAGGTTTTAGCATACCGGGTGGAAAGGTGGTTTTTCATAAAATAAAGGAAGATAATTGGTTATCTCAGCAGTTGTCAGGTTGGCATTTAAAGTCACTACAAGTTCCAGTAAACCGTAGGTATACTTCTTTTGCTCCCTGGTTTAACTTTCCAGAGATCATTCAAGCCAACTGCTAGTACTTACCAGTTGTACATGAAGAGGGATTTTAAAAACTATTCAGTAGTTTATATGGATTAATTTAGCTCAGAAAGCAGAAATTTAAAGTATGCTGTACACTACTCCATCTCCCCTCCTTCTCTATACTGTTCATGGTGTTGAGTGAGTGGTGAGACTGAATCCTGTTAGCCTTTATTCTTGACAATGACGTTCATATATATCCATTTTGTAGACAGTCCTCTAATTATTCAATCTGGTATTTTAATTGTTTTAAAAATCTCGGTTTTGTCAACGAAATCAGACTTTTCCAATCCATTAAATTATTGACATATAGCTACAAAGCATGAGGATAAATTTATGGGGAAAAAATTCTTTTCATTGATCGGTCACTTGAGAGTAGCCAACTTCATTTAGTCTAGTCCGGAGTGATGACCATTTTCTATGAATCGCGACGCGAAATGGTCACTAAGCTAGGAGGCTGTGTATCGTGATGCACTTTTCATAGATGTTAGTCGGTTGGAGATGATTGACAGGAAGCCCAGGTTGACTTAAGTTTCCCATGTGTTTTCACACACCACCAAAGTGTATCTGAGACCTCGATGGAACTCATGTCCCCTCTGAGATCGTAATCCGCGTCACCTTGTGTTATAGACGGCAACCTTACCATTGAGTCATTCTAACAACAATTGGCCCGAATAGCTCCGTCCTAACATCTCTGTCTGTAGCTCTGGGTGACACAGGATCGAATCTCTTAAAAGAAATTAGTTTCTTCGACAACAGACGCTCCTTGTTAAACCTACTGATTATTGTAAAGTTTATGATTCTCCTTTTTATTTTTGCTAAGATAGATTCAGCAGCATCTCCATGTATCTCTAGGTGATGTTAAATGTTTAGTGACCTGAAAACTTTCAAATACTGATCAGGAGTGTTTTGCATATTTGTAGTTGGTGTGTATCAGGGCATATCTACAACCTTATATTAGAAGTCTGAATTTACCACCGTAACACAAGGCATTATAATAAGTCTAAGCTAAGTTTATAAGCCATAATATATCCTTCAATCTATCGGTTGTTTTATATCAACCATTAGAACATGACCGTGAAATTCTTTATCATAACTCCGTATTGATGTAAGACAGTGCTTAGCACTGTAATGCTTTCAGGATATTCAGATGTTAGGTAGGTTGACGGGGTCGGTAAGATGCCCAGTACCTAGGTTTTGTGCTAGTTAGAAGTCGTTGGCGAGGCGCATTTAGTACCTCAATGAAAATGACACTCCTTCCTCTTATTCAGAGATTAGAACTTAAGTCAGCCAGTGCTGGAGTGGAGCTGTGCTTCAGTGGTCTAGGAAAATGGCTACCAACCATTGGATCACTTGTTCCATTCCCGCTCCACCTACCGAGGTTTGAGCAGCCAGGTAGTATCACTAGCCCTCACACAATAGGTGTCACTCATTACCTACTCTACGAGTGTGTACAAGATAGCTGAGTTCTCTACATACAGTGCTGCAGTTAGTAAGGTTAGGATTGAACTATTCACAATATGACTAAGGTCCAGTCATGTTGTTGAATGTTCACCAACTTGGTGCTTAGTGTTGATCAGACTTCTTGAAACCTCACGTATAACATGATTGGTAAGCTACCTGACATAAAAATATTACGCTCTGTAACAAAAGCGATCAAGATGAAATATTTGTTGACCTGTGTTTCTACTTATCAGTGATCGTCTGTCGATCATATGACAAGCCTTATGGAAGTTCATGTTGCTTTGCAGGCTAGTCTACTTAATGGCTAGCAGTGGGGTCCAAGAGGCAGGTTTCGTCGCATTTCGGACTCACCAACTGGATGCACCTGCACCCCAGTGAGTGATGTTTGTTCCCAATAAGACTTGAGCTCAGTACGCAACGCTTCAAATCCCAAAATGTTATCCCCTAGTCCCTTATGGCAAAAGAGGTAGCTCTTGTGAAACGGGTATCACTTAGTAACAATATCACTAATTGGAGTGCAGATACATCCGTCTGATGGGCTTTAAATCAGACGAAACGTGCGTGTTGGATTCCACTGCTAGCCAGCAAACAGATCACGGTATAGTGAATATCCAAAAAGTATCGAGGCCTCCCCATCTGCCAATATAGGTTCAGCAATCCGACCCCGTATATCAACGACAGATTACAAGTGTCAGAAAGTTTAGTGTCCTCGTGGGAAAAAAATCTTCGTTGAGGTAGGATCTGCCTCTCTTTTGAAGTCACTTGAAGTATGGTAACACTGCTTAGGGAACCCATGTGACTTTTTACTAAAATTTATATCTGAAGTTTTCTGTCTGCTTCAGAGTCGTGGTAAATGCAGCTGATTCGAAGATGAATATGAAGCAGTGAAAGGCTAACTGAAGTCTAACGAAAAAAGATTCTACTTCATTACTTAATACAAGCGTTGTACATTGTAAGACTTAACCTACAGTCGTGATTGGTAAAGTTTTGAATTTCAAGACCGTATTCATCACAGAGTGACATCATTTGATAAAGCACTGAAAACCTTGGAGCACTGAACATCTATTTTGTCCTAGTATAGGATTCCTTGGCTGTATGCACCCAGTGACTCAATGGTACAGTGCTTGGCACGGAACTTGAAAGTCCCAGGTTCGAGCCTCGGCAGGGTAGTGGATGCATGCTCCTGAGGAGTCCCATACTAGGATGAAACAGCTCTTCAGTGCTCCCAGGTTTTCAATGATTCTCCAAGTGATGTCATGGTGAATATCACTTGGAAATTAATGACACCGCCGAATAGGTCCTTTGGTCGATTGCCTTCAGCAGCATTTCTTCAGTTGACGCTAAAGTTATATCTTAGTAATATGTAATAGAAGTGGTAATATTTAAGCACTTTCGGGTCAATAAAGCTAACTGACTAACATCTAGTCGTTCCACGTACATACTCCACTACTGGTTGGTAACCGCCAGTTCGTTTAGAAGGGTAACACCTCGAAATACATTTTCAAACGAATAGGGTTTGAATATTGAGGACAGTATAGATTTTCTTTGAAGTTATAGACAGATTATACTCATCATTAATATTAATCATGAAATCCAGCTTAGGCATACTATTCTGATGATCGCCTCCAAATACACAGAACCGCTTTTGTTCCAATTGTTTGTAGTCATTATATAGGATAGTGATAATTATCTTTTCTTTCTTCTTATTTTAATTTTTAGGGTCCTGATGCAGAATACTTTGAACTTGTAAATCATACAAGTGAATCATCAGTCATTAATTCACTTCATTCAACACCGAAAAATATTAAATCTTTACATCTTATCAGTCGTTACAGTTTAGATCGTGAACAAAAATCAGAATATCGATTAATTTTATTAGCTTATGATCAATCAGTACAATTTAACAATCGTCATACAGCTCAATTACCTATTAGTATTCATGTTAAAGAAGTGAATGAATATGCACCAGTATTCAATTTAGGCATCAATATAACAACAAATCAGTTGAATAATATTAACAATCAAAAGTTATTGAACAATGAAATGAAATTCATTGGACATTCAAATCGATTTCATCCACAAGTACAAATTAAATCATTTTCATATAATTCAAAACTGATTACTTTAGTATATCATAATAATCAACAGAAAAATCAAGGTTCCCAAATAGATAATAATCATGTTGATTTATCTGATTCCACATATCTCATACTTGGATTACCTGAAGATGTTAGTATTGGAAGTAGAATATATCGTGTACAAGCGATAGATATTGATTCAATTGATTTCACACCTATAAATAATCAATATTCTTCTCATCATTCAATAACACAAAATTATATTCACAATACTGTGCATTATTTTATAGCACAAGAAACTGATTTAGTCGTGAAACATTATTTTCGTCTAGGTAAAGAAGATGGCTGGATAACACTAATACATCAATTGGATTATGAAGCTGGATCACGTAATTATATTCTGCCTATTGTTGCAGTCGATTTTGGACGTCCACAGTTAAGTAGTACACTGACATTAACTATACAAATAATAGATGTAAATGATGAGGCGCCAAGTATAATCATACGTGGTATTGAACCTACTAGCGTAAATCATCATAATTATCAACGTTTGGCGGGACATTCAATGCTGGATAATTTTAATCCTACGCGTTTTCAAATATTAAATGTACGAGAAAATTCACCAGTTGGCACTTTCATTGCAAAGGTAAGATATCAGTTGAATATAATGTCTACAGGTGTTTCCCCCTTAACCCATTTCTTCGCAGAACAGTTTTCCAATGTAGGTGGCCTCCTAATCACGTAGAATCGTATCTAAGAGTAGTTCATAGTTGTCGATGCAACAAACAACTGAACCATTTAAACAGATCGAAATAAAAACGCGTCAGAATTCCCATTGAATAGGTCGGTGTACCTGAGATACCCATCAGTTTCTGTGCGTTTACAGATAGGTTAGAGCACCCGTACTATACTAATAGTCTTAGTAGGTAATCGAGGACGTTTTTAAGTCTTTCTGGACTCCTTAGTTATCATAGACAGCTTATGGAGCCGAACGCTGGCGAGAATATACTGCAGAAAGGGAAAGTTTACTAACTGTCCATTATGGCATTTCGTCGCTTGCTTTATGATAGAAAACTGGTTCAATGTATACCGATCCATCAATCTTGAAGTCTTGTCAAACTTCCTTTATTTTTTCACCGAAGCTGTGTATTTTCTCAGTTTCTGGCCCTTGAACTTGGATAACAACACATTTTGATCCTAGGTGTAAAGGTGTAATATGATCTGTGATCTGAATTCTCACTATTACCAACCACAGTACTACATAATCACTTCTGTGTCTCTCTTCCACTTGAATCTAGGTTTTCAGTTCATAAGTTCAAATGCTCTATGTGAAAGTACGACAAGAAACTGAGAAATAGTAAACAGTAATATGTGGCTTTGACTATGAGACTTTTCAAAAAAACTTGCTAATAGTCACTTAGAATATAATCTGAAACTCCTCTACTCAAGGGAAAGTGAGTGAAGCCTTAAAAGACGAAGACCGATCACTTTGAAGTCATGCAGCTATTTGGTATTGGTAAGTGTTTTAGAGACAGCACCCCACCTGAATTTTACAAGCGTTTATCCAAGCAGTGAACATCTATGACGAGAACTGACTTCAAGCCTAATCAAATTAGTGGTAAAGTTTGTAAAAAATACTGTCAAAGAATGCCTATATCATTTATCGTTTAACTACTTATACAAGTTTAAGTAGTATAGTCTGTACATTTAATTTTAGCGTCATAGTTATACATGTTTTAGATATCCGCTAAAGATCGTGACACTGGAAGTGCCGGAGAAGTTGAGTGTTATTTGATTGAAGCTGACAATTTCAATCGTAAAGCCAAGAAAGTGACCTTTCATTAATCTCAGATCAGTCGAAGACTGTTCACAATTTTGGATTAGATTCTACTGAAGACTCAGCTATCATCAACGCAGCCACTGCATCAAATAATATTGTACATTTCATGTCTTCAGCCTATATTCCACGTACACAGTCAAGTCTATCAGGACGCCATGAAACTGAGTACATATTAGTAACAAAGGCAATGTTAGATCGTGAAAGTAAAAGTTCTTATTTTATTTATCTTACATGTCATGATCATGCTGAAAAATTGAATAATTTAAATTTGAAAAGAATTCATATTTGAATTATCCTTCATCAATGATGATTAATATGAATTCACAAATTTCATCTAAACGTCTTTCATCAACAAAATTGTTAAAAATCAATATTTTAGATGAAAATGATAATGGACCACAATTTGATCAATTAAGTTATAAAGTAAAAATTTTTGAAAATTCTCTTGAAAATACTGAATTAATTCAATTGAATGCTATTGATAAAGATGAAGAAAGTCATATAATTTATCGATTTGCTCAATCAACTGATCAATTTATACAAAACTATAGTGATATTGATTTAAATTTAATTTTGAAACATTTTAAAATAGATAACAAATTAGGTTCAATTAAAACAACAAATATCCCATTGGATAGAGAAAGTAAAGATTCATTTTTAATCCCTATAATTGCTTATGATGATGAATATCCAAGTAGAACATCTAATGCATGGATACACGTTGAAATAGGTGATATTAATGATAATACACCTCACTTGATAGGGAATACAACATTTTGGATAGATGAAGAAGGTACAATTACAGAACACGGGACTATTAATAGTCCTACTAGTAGTTTAAGACAATATCATGGTAATTATCAAATATTCATTGGACGTTTGTTAGGTGAAGATGATGATATCGGTGAAAATGGACAAATTATTTTTAAACTAGGCTTTACTAATCAAAATAATCTTAATAATATTTCAAAATGGTTTTTGCATTCTGATGGCATGCTATTTGTTCAATCGACTACAGTACATAATAATGGAGATCATATCAATAATTATTTAGATCGTGAAACAATTCCTGTCTATAAGATTCCAATTATCATTAGTGATTTAGGCAAAAATCCTACACGTTCATCTACAGGTACAGTGACTATCAGTTTAAGAGATATAAATGATAATTCACCTAAATTTTTAAAACCTTCATATCATGATTTAAATTTCACTCTGAAAGATAACAGCCAATCATCTTTGAGTATTCCTAAAATTATGTCACCTAATATACCAAGTGAACGAATCAATATTCTTCGTCTAGATAATTCAAATCCTGGTACACTGATTTATACTGTTCATGCTATCGATTCAGATGATGGTAATAATGGTAAAGTGATTTATAAACTTCAAGTATATGAAGGATATTGGCAGTTAACTCATAATTCACATCAATCCATAAGTAAAAATGATACTAATAGATCTACAAATGACTATTTTATTATTGATCAAAATTCTGGTGAAATACGAATCAATAAACCGATTACTTTAGATAATTTACAAAAAATACCTAAATGTTTAGTTGTCTTTGCTGAAGATTGTGGTATTCCATCGAGAAGAAATTATGCATTTTTATATATTGATGCTATGACAGAAGAAGAAGAAGAAGAAGAAGAGCAGAAGAAACAGAAACTAATCGATAATAATAATCAAAGACTTCTCAATCCTGTATCAGTAAATAACACAAAGAATCGTTTAAATTTTATTGATCGATCGATTAATTTAACTGACTTTAAGAGAGACAATAAACAGCAATTAGTTGGTCTGAATTCAAATAATAATAATAATAATCCACAGTTAAAATTATTGAAAATGGACAATACTCAAATGTATCCACATTCTAATTCAAGAATGAAGTACAGTCAATCAGTCAATACAAAATTTCCGTCTTCTCTTCAATCAAATTCACTTAATGAAGATAATGATGATGATGATGATGATATGGAGAAATTAATATCAAATTATCGAATCATGATGAATACTGGTGAATCGGATACAGTCAATACCAATCAATATAATAGTACTGATTTGATTACTGGTTTAGGTATTGGATTAGTAATTATCATTCTTGTCTGTTTATTGCTATTATTGACCTATGCTATACATGGAACACAAAATATTCGATTAACAAGAAACACATGTAAAAATCGTCGTACAAAGGTTAACGACAATATAGTAGTGAAAGAGTATAAAAATGATGAAATTAATGAAACTATGAGTAAGTAATTATTGATCGATTTTTTTTCCAATTTCAAAAACCAGTATTGTTTATACTTAATCGTTATATGAGATTGCTAAGTTTCGAGAGTAGCCATTTAACTTAGATGTGTTCTCTGAGCTGTAGTTTCAATCGGTAAATGCTTCACTATCATGCTAGACAACATCAGCAATGCATCACAACTGAGTGAGATAATTGGCTGTTAGTAGATATCTATGATGTGCCACTTGACCTCAGTCTAATCTGATTGGTAGACTGGTGAGTCCTAGGGTAGCTGTTGAACCTGATTAGTTGATTTTAGCTTACAGTCTTTGTAGGGGGGTGTCGGGCTGAATAATTGATTGACCCTCTTTTTCTGTAAGCAATATACTGAGGTCAATTCGTTGCGATTGGTTTGATTGTTGTACACTAGACTGGAGACCCTGTCCCGTGATTGGTTGATCTGTTCAATAGTTAGTTTCTGTTAAGGGATGTTATTTTGCCTGCAGAATCAAATCAACCAATCAACATTCAACACTAGTCTACTTTCAGTGCCAGTGAGGTTGTTCTTTCTCGCCAAGACATCGATTCAAAGTAGATGTCTGCAAAAAAGCAGTCTGAGGTAAGAATAACTGAAGTTAGACATATAGTTGTGGGATTTCACTATGATTAATTTTGGAAAACAAAATATTCGTACTACAATAGGCGGTCTGTCGATGTCACTAATGACATTAGAAATGAGACAGGGATAGAAAGAAAAGACCTGAAGACCTGGTAAACATTTGCATCTCCCTCTAAGTCTTTCTCTGATTTAGTCATTCTCACTTGCAAGTGTGACTTGTTGGGTATAGTCAATAGGTAGGTTTCGTTGGAAGCTCGTCTAAAGCCATCTGTCAATTTCTTTTCCCTACACTCAAAGGTTGAGTCTTAGAAAAAGGATTTACATGTCTAAAGTGCTGTAGGTTAATATTCTCTGAAGAAAAATTTCAATGAAATATTTTAGTTGAAATGGAACTGACAAGTAACGCACTGTCTGCTTTGATCGATTTCACCACTTGTCAAGTTCTGTTGCTATCTTTTCTTCTTTGCACCTAATCTTTTTTAGGCATGGAAAAAAATTGTGAGAATGATCACAACGGTAGAAAATTTGAGGGTCCGAACAAGAGATGGAGGCAATTTTGTAATGCCATGCGTTTTGTAATCAGTCCTAATCGTCCGATGGTAAGCTATTCTTTGTGTGTGTGTTACTTCATGTGCTTAGTAATCAGTAATCTATGTACTAGATGGGATAAACACTGAATTATGGATTTCATTACCAGTGTCGAAAGTAAAGAAATGATATTATAAAAACCTATGCATGAGCAATATCACTTCCCCGGTATCACACTCCCCCCCCCTTCTCATCCTTGATAATGTCTAGTCAGCTTTAGTCACTGCATATTTGTCATTATTACATTTCAGTTCACTACACTAATGCATTATTCGAGTACAGAGAGAGTGTGTTTACCAAAAACGTTCTCGAAAGAGCCTCGGATTATTTCATACAGTAAGGTATCTGGTATCCCACCGAACCTCCTACTTTTTTCACATCGTTGCAAACCATCAATGATAATAAGGGATATGGCGTGCTACAATATCTCCTAGATTCCTCAAATAAGCCTGGAAATCCTTAAAAAGCCTTCATAGCCATTCATAGCACGCCGAGTGTTCGAGAAAAACCATGCGATCATGCGTGTGAGACTCTACTTGGTTGAAGGGCTCTCTAGAAAAGTGTAGAATTTTCCATGGCTATCAACCGTTAATTTTTGAAGATAATCTACTGGACAACAAATCCATATCGTTTTTGCTGCTTTTTTCCTGTTTTCGAGAAATCGAGTGATCATCTAGAGTTAAGTCTAAGGTTATTGTTAAACAGTCCACTCCTACGAAGTCATATATATATATATATATATATATATATATATATATATATATATATATATATATATATATATATATAACAAGGATTTATCAATGAGCGACGCTAAGTAAACCTGTTGATATCGGTAAAAAAAACTGTGTAACCTCTTAAGCAGCACCCAATTAACGGAGAAAAACTAGAATCAATCACTGGTGTACACTTATTTGATTGGAGATTGATTAACTCCTGGAGGTGGCATGTTGACTGCAGTCCTCCCTCAATCGAACTCGATCCCTTCAAGGCCTCTCGCAAACCTAGTATTCTTAAATAATCCAGTCAGTGTAATTTTTTCCTTCAGTCTTACAATTATACATCTGTCATGTGTTACTTGTTTGGGTAATTCGGTAATCACCCGGAATATCCTTTTGGATGACTGCTGATGCTTGTCATTTTCACACCATTTTTACACCATGACTAACAGTCCATTTTCTACACCCCATTTGCAACGTAATTCGCTGATTGGTTGATCCTTACTCTTACTATTATTAATGCCTCGATTTGCGGAGGTCATATTTCGTGTGTATACGTACTCATGTGTTTTTGAACCGATTGATTGATTGACTATGTTCGAGCGACTTAAAACCACCCTAGTAACAGTCGAAATGACCAATTACGTTTCTTCATTTCGGCTGGCAAAGGCAGATTTTCATAAAATACAGAACTTTGATTAATCATTTAACTTGAAAGTCATTCTTATTCTCGTAGGTATTAACTCTCCCATCCAGCTTCGGTCTTCTTTTCTATTCGTCCCTGGTTGCAGTTGGTGCCTCTTGTGTATGAAGTTAGCTGTCAGCTAAGCGTGCTTATTATATCCGTTAGGAATATATAACGAAGATGAATGTGATTACTTATCGGACCTGAACCAATTAATACAAACTGATAAACAGTGCTACTCAGCAACCATGTACAGGCTTATTTTACGAGCTGTATGCTCAGCAGGTTATCTGATGACCAGTGATAATCACTACCTGCTTAGACTTTCGTTATTAGTAGACAGCGCTCCAACCAGTGACCACAGATGGAACATAACAACTGCACGAAGCATTAGGTCATATCAGGAGTTATAAATAAAAACTAAGGTGTGAGTGTTGAGTGGTTAGAATAAACTAGTCAACTTGCAGTTAACGGGAAGAGCTACTTCTTGATGAGGAATCACAATTGTAGAAACAAAATATCCCCGACAACTATTTTAGAAGTAGTATTCATCATGCACTGACGTCAGTTGGGGAACCACTGAAAATCTGGGAGCACTGGACAGCCCGTTTCGTCCTATTATGGGAATCCTCAGCCGTACGCACCCAAAATCCTGCTAGGGATTGAGCTCAGGACCTTCAGGTTGCACGGCGAACGCGTGGGTCTTGGGTGCATACTGCTGAGGAGTCCCAAGCTAGAACGAAACGGCTGTCCAGTGCTCCCAGATTTTCAGTGGTTCCCCAACTGACGTCAGTGCATGATGAATACTACTTCTAAAATAGTTGTCGGGGATATTTTGTTTCTACAATTGTGATTCCTCATCAAGAAGTAGCTCTTCCCGTTAACTGCAAGTTGACTAGTTTATTCTAACCACTCAACACTCACACCTTAGTTTTTTATTTATAACTCCTGATATGACCTAATGCTTCGTGCAGTTGTTATGTTCCATCTGTGGTCACTGGTTGGAGCGCTGTCTACTAATAACGAAAGTCTAAGCAGGTAGTGAGTATCACTGGTCATCAGATAACCTGCTGAGCATACAGCTCGTAAAATAAGCCTGTACATGGTTGCTGAGTAGCACTGTTTATCAGTTTGTATTAATTGGTTCAGGGCCGATAAGTAATCACATTCATCTTCGTTATATATTCCTAACGGATATAATAAGCACGCTTAGCTGACAGCTAACTTCATACACAAGAGGCACCAACTGCAACCAGGGACGAATAGAAAAGAAGACCGAAGCTGGATGGGAGAGTTAATACCTACGAGAATAAGAATGACTTTCAAGTTAAATGATTAATCAAAGTTCTGTATTTTATGAAAATCTGCCTTTGCCAGCCGAAATGAAGAAACGTAATTGGTCATTTCGACTGTTACTAGGGTGGTTTTAAGTCGCTCGAACATAGTCAATCAATCAATCGGTTCAAAAACACATGAGTACGTATACACACGAAATATGACCTCCGCAAATCGAGGCATTAATAATAGTAAGAGTAAGGATCAACCAATCAGCGAATTACGTTGCAAATGGGGTGTAGAAAATGGACTGTTAGTCATGGTGTAAAAATGGTGTGAAAATGACAAGCATCAGCAGTCATCCAAAAGGATATTCCGGGTGATTACCGAATTACCCAAACAAGTAACACATGACAGATGTATAATTGTAAGACTGAAGGAAAAAATTACACTGACTGGATTATTTAAGAATACTAGGTTTGCGAGAGGCCTTGAAGGATCGAGTTCGATTGAGGGAGGACTGCAGTCAACATGCCACCTCCAGGAGTTAATCAATCTCCAATCAAATAAGTGTACACCAGTGATTGATTCTAGTTTTTCTCCGTTAATTGGGTGCTGCTTAAGAGGTTACACAGTTTTTTTTACCGATATCAACAGGTTTACTTAGCGTCGCTCATTGATAAATCCTTGTTATATATATATATATATATATATATATATATATATATATATATATATATATATATATTATATATATGACTTCGTAGGAGTGGACTGTTTAACAATAACCTTAGACTTAACTCTAGATGATCACTCGATTTCTCGAAAACAGGAAAAAAGCAGCAAAACGATATGGATTTGTTGTCCAGTAGATTATCTTCAAAAATTAACGGTTGATAGCCATGGAAAATTCTACACTTTTCTAGAGAGCCCTTCAACCAAGTAGAGTCTCACACGCATGATCGCATGGTTTTTCTCGAACACTCGGCGTGCTATGAATGGCTATGAAGGCTTTTTAAGGATTTCCAGGCTTATTTGAGGAATCTAGGAGATATTGTAGCACGCCATATCCCTTATTATCATTGATGGTTTGCAACGATGTGAAAAAAGTAGGAGGTTCGGTGGGATACCAGATACCTTACTGTATGAAATAATCCGAGGCTCTTTCGAGAACGTTTTTGGTAAACACACTCTCTCTGTACTCGAATAATGCATTAGTGTAGTGAACTGAAATGTAATAATGACAAATATGCAGTGACTAAAGCTGACTAGACATTATCAAGGATGAGAAGGGGGGGGGAGTGTGATACCGGGGAAGTGATATTGCTCATGCATAGGTTTTTATAATATCATTTCTTTACTTTCGACACTGGTAATGAAATCCATAATTCAGTGTTTATCCCATCTAGTACATAGATTACTGATTACTAAGCACATGAAGTAACACACACACAAAGAATAGCTTACCATCGGACGATTAGGACTGATTACAAAACGCATGGCATTACAAAATTGCCTCCATCTCTTGTTCGGACCCTCAAATTTTCTACCGTTGTGATCATTCTCACAATTTTTTTCCATGCCTAAAAAAGATTAGGTGCAAAGAAGAAAGATAGCAACAGAACTTGACAAGTGGTGAAATCGATCAAAGCAGACAGTGCGTTACTTGTCAGTTCCATTTCAACTAAAATATTTCATTGAAATTTTTCTTCAGAGAATATTAACCTACAGCACTTTAGACATGTAAATCCTTTTTCTAAGACTCAACCTTTGAGTGTAGGGAAAAGAAATTGACAGATGGCTTTAGACGAGCTTCCAACGAAACCTACCTATTGACTATACCCAACAAGTCACACTTGCAAGTGAGAATGACTAAATCAGAGAAAGACTTAGAGGGAGATGCAAATGTTTACCAGGTCTTCAGGTCTTTTCTTTCTATCCCTGTCTCATTTCTAATGTCATTAGTGACATCGACAGACCGCCTATTGTAGTACGAATATTTTGTTTTCCAAAATTAATCATAGTGAAATCCCACAACTATATGTCTAACTTCAGTTATTCTTACCTCAGACTGCTTTTTTGCAGACATCTACTTTGAATCGATGTCTTGGCGAGAAAGAACAACCTCACTGGCACTGAAAGTAGACTAGTGTTGAATGTTGATTGGTTGATTTGATTCTGCAGGCAAATAACATCCCTTAACAGAAACTAACTATTGAACAGATCAACCAATCACGGGACAGGGTCTCCAGTCTAGTGTACAACAATCAAACCAATCGCAACGAATTGACCTCAGTATATTGCTTACAGAAAAAGAGGGTCAATCAATTAT